ATATATATAATATAAAAAGTTGAGAAGATTTTTTAAGAGATCTTTTATATATAATAAAAGAATTTTAGATTTTTTATGTATAATATAAATATATATAATATAAAAAATCTTCTCAACATGTTCTTATATTTTATTCATATAAACATACATATAAATTTCTAGATTATTTTCAACTTTTATTAATCAGGAGATTGCAATCACGCGGCAGAATAAGCTTACGAGCCGAAAGCAAAGGTGTACACTGTCACTCAATGTAATTATGATTCTGTACAGGCTCCAATAAACGATTATTCCGCAGCTACCGGGTTCATAGGCATAAAACCAACGACGGAAAAGAATCATATCGTTCGTTCTCTGTTAGAAAGTATCGTCTACAGGATACTACTACTCTACGAGTCTCTCTGCTCGGAAACTGCCTTCTCGTATAAAAAAATACGGTAAGAATATTTCATACTCTACAAATCTTCCAGTGAATTCTACTTTAAAAAATCTAATCGACACGAAAGGCGATTGAACGAGCGTTTCTTGCCTCGACGAATACATTAGCTGCATAAAGAATATTTAACTCGCGTCGAACCTCGTCAAAGAAACGTTACTTCACCGTCTTCTATTCGAAACAATTTACATTCTCTTTTATACGAACGGCACGTTGAAACTGTTGTCGCGTTTTTTCCAGCGTCGACGGCGGAGTGTCCAAAAATAATTTCGTGCTACAGTTGCTGGCCGATTTGACTGGTCTTGACGTCGAACGAGCGACGAGCACGGAAATGTCTATTTTAGGAGTGACTTTCCTCGCCGGCTTACAATGCGGTATGGAAAACACTCGACCTCCCAACAATATCGCCCGCAACGCCGCTGTGACCCGAATAGACAAGACGCGAGCAAAAGCCATCGCAACAGATACGCATAATTTTGTTTTCGCGTCGTCCAACCAGACGGTTTATTTTATCCGCGCACAGACGTACTCGTCAAACCGGTTTCCCTTCCGACCGGCACAATCCTTTATACACCGGCAACCTTCAAACCGCGTGCTTTGTCGTCGGTGTGAATTAAAACCGAACACTTTTATCACAACGACACATCAAATCCTTTCAGGCGTCTGGAAGACCAGGGAGGAGGTGTTGAAGCTCCGCAAAACGGAGACGGTGTTCGCGTCGAACGAGGCGAACAAGTCCCGGTACCAACCGATAATTGCTCAATGGCGGCGAGCCGTTCAGAGGCTCGGTCAGTGGTACTGACGATCACTGGAAATGTAATTTACCCTTCGCACTCCGAGCGATTTTTGATATAAGCAACTCCGAATCAGTTTTAACCCTCTGTAGGCCCATGTAACTTTGAAGTCACGTGTCAGTTGGAATCTTGTTGATTTATTTCATTTTGCACTCAAAGTGGTGAATAAAATTAACCCTTTGCACTCGGGAGGTGACTCTTAGTCACCACTTGATTTCCTACGGTGAAGCTTTAAAGTTTGGTATTTAATATTATACTTCATATAATGCATCAATCTGAGAAATATTGACGTAAATTAGCTTTGTTCATCGATTCGTGTGAATTTCTCGAAAATTACAAAATATATTTGCTCGAAGAAATTATTGAAACTATTGAATACATTGTTAATTCGTATTCATAAGTGGATATTTATTAATTTTGTACTGCATAGATTTTGTTATAATCACGAACAAAAATTCGTCCTATAGAGGGTTAATATGAACTATCAGCTACGCGTGCCTCTGTAAAAGATTTAAGACCCTGCTTTGTCATTAACACGTTGAACGCCGCGGGGGTCACCGGTGACCCCCAACCAAATCGAATTACTATAGGTCACTCGATTAAACGATGGTTATTTGAAAACATTCATATATTACAAATAATGCTATCTAATCTCGTAACATTCAACTAGATGACCGTGCAGTAATAATAACGCAATTCAATCAAATGATTTAATATCATATTTTCTTCATTTTATGTTTGAAAAACGAAGTTATAAACTTATCTTACAATGTCGGAGTGCAAAGGGTTAAAGCACCATCGAAGTCCACCCTCGAAATTGCCAAGGAAGACCAATATACAATTAAGTAAGATAATGAGTCTTATTTGCTAACTTTGACACCATGTTTCCTACTTGTAAATAAAATCGATTCGTTTATAAAAAATGACAGTTATCATTATTATCTACGCAAAGTCAATAAGAGAATACCTTGAACACCTCGATACGCACGAAGGTTGCAGTGCGCGACAGTTCTGCGAGCGAATCGATGCCGATAATTATACATATAAGAAAATGACAGTGAAAACTATGAAGTACGAAGGTGATGAGCACGCGTCTTGAACGCAATTGATTTTCATCAGAATGCGTTGCTTCGATCCCGTCGTTAGAGCCTTCGTCTGCTGACGTGGAGAACATTCGGGTCGCTTTACCCGGCATTCAACTCCGAGCGCACCGATTCGAGACATCGGTCGCGCGAGGCCGCGGGCATATCATTTTTCCACCTTACGTGTTACGTGTTACGTGTTACGTGTTACGTATTGCGTATCGGCACTTTCACGATTACGGCCGGGAGACTGTGTCTAACGGGGCACGGTAATGGAAACATGGATATATCTCAGCCGGAGGAGAAAGTTCCCGGGAAGCCAATGGAACGGCGGACCTGCGGACGAATCCAGGAAGGCGAAAGGGAAACGAACGAAAAAACGACCGCAAGAAACATGAAACTTTGTCGTTTATTGCCCGTAATTTCGGTGTTACACCGCGAGATTACTAACTCGCAGTGGAATCGTCTCTGCTGAGTTGCACAATTCGAAATTCGTGCGCCAGTCGCTATTACCGTGGCGCCTTGATTATCCGAGTACTGTTTAACGCTTTGTATTCGAGGAGACTCGTCGCTCGTTCTCATACAGGAATTATAAAGTTTCACTTTGCACTCCAGAAGTTTTTTGTTAGAAATACTCAATATTTTCTAAGAAGATACGACATTCTTTCAAGCTGATTTGACGAGAAATCGCACATAAATTAAAGAAAGAGGCTGTTATTTTAATATTTTACATGTTGGTGCATTGTACAAAGTTTAATATTAAATGTCAAACTCTATAATTTTGCTGTGTCAAGTCAATTGGCGACTGAGTGGCGCCTACGGAGTGCAAAGGGTTAATATTTAACTCTTTGCGGACGAAGATTCTCTGAAATATAAAAACCCTCAACAGATGAAGCTAAATTATACAACATATATAATAAAATATACAACAATTACTTGAATAATAGAAAAATAGGAAACTTGTGCTGATCTCTTGTTCCAGTAATTAAATCACTTGTTTACGACTTCCAAATATGAAAATTTCATCTCGTCGAAGTATCGACATTCGACCGCAAAGGGTTAATATTATTTAGTTAACATTAGTTAGTTTCATATCGTCAATATCTCATTGGAAAATATTGAATGTTTCTGGTGAAAAACTTTCGAGTATTGAGCGTTGATCGAGGTCATTATCCAAGGTGCTTCGAAGGTGTCACATAACGACAGTAACTGCGATCGAAACAGCTACAACTCTCTTCACATTTCTTTGTCAATTATGTATTCCAGCGTTGAATACATAATTCATTAATACAAAACGTATCACGACCGATCAAGTGACTTATTTCAAAATTTGAAAATTCTGTGTTTCTTCCTTCATTTAACTTATATTACCCGATTAAACAATTTTTCGTTTGCCTTCCCTTCTGTTTCCAATAAAAGACAATGTATCAACTATTTAATTACCTTTAATTACCAACTATTACCTTTATTGTATAACCAGTTGTTTATTGATCACGGTAGAAATAGATATGTACAAAGTATCGGTACATTTAAGATTAAAATCGAGTGTGCAATACGACATTGTCATTATCTGCCATCATTTCAGCTCGAAATGTTCTCGAACCGAGCGTCATTCTAATTATAAAACCTCTCGACTCTAAAAGTTCTCAGCTACGAATGAAAATTTTTAAAATATGCATCGAAAGACAATGGAGCGTCCCGTTGCGATTATGTAAAAATAAACTCGACCTTGACATTTTTGACTCGGTGCATAAGCGACGATGAACTTCCCTCCTTCGCCGACCGGCCACTTCCGCCCAAGCTCGCTCCTGAAATCAAGTTAATCGGCGTTCGATACGCAGTCACGGCGACCTGTCTCGATCCCCGTCGGTCTCATCAATACGTTCCTCCTGTCTGCTGCTGTTCGTCCGTTAAAATATCGTGGATCGCGATCGTGCGTAACCGGAAGTCAACATGGTGAGTGCTCATTTCGTCGGCCGAATTAAATAAAATGGTTCGTGCTGGTTCCTCCGTTCGCTCGTCGGAATTATACGAGGATCCAAGTGTCCGTAGGAATTATCTTTCGAACGCGATATCTCCGAACGACGCTCGACGCAATCAGCATAACGACCAGAAGGATAATGAGTTTCATATTTACGTAGGCAATAAGATGCTGAGATTCCGAGTGAAGAAACAAAAAGAGATTCAGTGAAGGAAACGATCCGTGAAACGCAAATGCTTCCTAAGATGATCCTAAGATCGTGATAATGGATAATTCACGAATGATCAATTACCGTTTGTTCCGTTAGTGAAAAACAGTGATCTATCAACTCACGCAGCAAAGGGAGCATTTCGTTTTCAATGACACTTTCATTTTACTATGACAATTGGACGACTTTTATGCAGTTTTGAGGAATTTGAGAGTGCGAATTGCAGAAATTGCGCACGATACGGAATCATTGGCCGCATTTGCTAGGTTGTTATAGAAATGAGCATGCTGATCGTCCATGTCACCTCATACACCTCCCCCACAGTTAATCCAATGCATCCTCGGTTGTTTCAAACCGTCGTTTGCGAGCAGCAGGTGTTACAATCGAAGCGAACGCGCGCGAACGTCACGAATCCGTGGCTAATCCGAAAGTAGCTGGAATTTCGCATTTAAAATGGCAAGCTAAGCTTGGAAATTCAAATGTGTTTGTTATTAATAGTCCCTAACGTGTCTGAATTCGATATTTAATGTACTTTAGATTATTATTGGCGTATAAAGGACAAATCAGGCATTACGATGCCCAGAAAAATAAAAGATACAATAATAAGAGGTAACTTCGAAGAACCGACCATACGTCAAGCTTTGGAAATTTATCGCATACTTACGATGCAGTACACGCATCGTACAATCCTACAAGGAAGACTTATTTATCGAATAATTCAGGAAAACAATTTTACATTGGCATCGCAGGCCGACAAAATGGTACTTTCTGAAAAACAAGAATTTAAACACTGGGTTAAAGAGAGACACTGTTAGAGGAAGAACGGGGACTAAGGACGGATGAGTTAATAGTATAAATACAGGATCTTCCAGAGAATAATCTCGCATTTATTGCAATGAGAAATTTATCCACCCAATTTCAAAATTTCGAAGAGTCGTCAAATCTGTGCTAATAGATGTAGTGTTAAAAGTTAGTATACTTCCGACAAATGTGTTAATAATTGATTTTATTATTAAATTGCACAATTTTGGATCGAAAAGAAATTGTTACGGTTTTCTTGCTTATAAAAGATCTTCCAGTTATTTTTCAATTTTGTACCGATCACTGGTCACCGATATTGAAGCTGATTGCGTATTAACAACAAATTTGTAAATCGCCTCGAGCACCCTCTATAAAACAGGCAAAGTGTAGCGCTTTTTACAGCGTACATTGTCATTCATCATCAGGACATTTTATATACTGTTTTGTGCTCGTTTCTTCTATTTCTAAAGAAATCTTGATAGTTCTATTTGTAAAGAAATCTTGATAGTTCTTCCATTTCTAAAAAAATCTTGATAGTTCTTCCGTTTCTAAACAAATCTTGATAGTTCTTCTATTTCTAAAGAAATCTTGATAGTTCTTCCATTTCTAAAAAAATCTTGATAGTTCTTCCGTTTCTAAACAAATCTTGATAGTTCTTCTATTTCTAAAGAAATCTTGATAGTCCAATTTCTAAACAAATCTTGATAGTTCTTCTATTTCTAAAGAAATCTTGATAGTCCAATTTCTAAACAAATCTTGATAGTTCTTCTATTTCTAAAGAAATCTCGATAGTCCAATTTCTAAAGAAATCTTGATAGTTCTTCTGTTTCTAAAGAAATCTTGATGTTCTTCTGTTTCTAAACAAATCTTGATAGTTCTTCTATTTCTAAAGAAATCTTGATAGTTCTATTTCTAAAGATATCTTGATAGTTCTTCTACTTCCAAAGAAATCTTGATAGTTCTTCTTGATTAGAAGAAATCTCGATGCCCGCGGCTCTCTCGTTCGATCGTCGGTTGCGTTGCAGTATTTATCCTTTTTGCAGGGATCCTGTCATTGGTGAAACACGTTTTATTACCATAGGCGGAGTTTATACGCGGTCGCGTTTGTAATATAATAACGTCTACGCCTATCGTACGATTAGTGGTGTGATTAGTATTTTATGGATTCGCCTATGCGAACGAACGAACGTTCTCGGGGAATTATGTCTCGCACAAGTGTCGTTTATGAAAGTTACTCTGTATCTTGCGTCGGCGGAGCGGCTGCAAAAGGACCATTCTTAACTGCAGTCCGGCCAGAGCTGCGCGAAAGCCAGCATCGTCGTCCTTTCAATTTCTCTTTGGCCTAGGTGCACTGTGCTACGAAACGACAGTTATGCTTCGTCGCCGTTGATCATTCGATTCCGAGCGAACATGCGATAATTGCGCACGGTGTTGTCGTTCACCGATGCAACGTCCCGAACGCGTGCAACCGCTACGTAAGTAACCACGATTACGAGCACGAAACGAGTTGAAATTCATTTCTTACCGCATAATTCGGCTGGCTGGAAACTCGTTCGTTATTAATGCCCGGCAAGGGACAATCTTACTTCCAACCTGTCGGCTCTCGGCGTCGCAATTTGATTTTCAAATTAGGGCATTTTTTAAGGACATTTTTTCAGGACACCAGCTGTACACGGTGACGCTGCGCGAGTCGGCAGATGTTCGATCTTTTGATCTCGTTGATCGGTCCTCATCTTTTCTCATCTCATCTTCAATATTAATTAGTTGTCTTCCTGTTTAGTATATCAAAATTTAACTTATAATTCACCTTTCCATGCAAGAAGTTGAAGTGTCAGACGTCGGAGCAACGTACGCTAGTGCATTAATATTTTATTCTCTATCGCAACAAAAACTAGCCGATACCATTTCAAGCCATAATTACCTATGTTACGTAACACGCGAGAAAAAAGTTGGCATTTTAATTATTCCAGGAAGAGGTAGTGCTGGATATGTCAAACGCCGAAGAGACGAAAATCGTGCATGATCGTACAGATCGTGCCGAGTGTTGGATAGACATACAACCGGAGTCATCGAACATGAACGAGATTGGTGAGCGAATTTTAACATGTATGTTGCGTATATTATTTTCGAACACACACGTAAACGGAATAATCTGCGATTGTTAGATAACTGGATTCTCTCCTTGTGTTCACGTTTATCAGAAGTTGTCTCCTTTTCAACACATTGCGTACCGGAAACGAGAAATCTCGTTTTTATTTGAACCTGTCGTCATTTTGCGAACTACCACACCCTTTAAAGAAACATTAAATTTCATTAGAACTATTCGTCTTAACAAATTTTATGTTCGTTCATTTAGATTTTGGAAGTTGGACGTTTAAAGATTAGATGATTAGAGTACACATTCGTGTTACTGCATCAATGAAAATCGACAGTAAAATTCAATGTGCGTCAAATTGACGCGTTCCCCTAGTGTTAATACTTATGAAATAATAAGATATTCGGATATTTTTCATACAGTGATGTATTACGAACTTACAAGTTGATCTCATTGAGAAATCGGCCAGTTTTCTAAGAATCAACCGGTACGCAATGTTAACTCACTCAGGTCCTATTTGTAGAAATGATAGTTTCTGCCCACATAGTGACGGAATTCTTAAAATTTGTTAACCCTTTTGCACTCCAGAAGTTTTCAGATAATTAATCAAAAAATTAACTACTTAAATCAGAAGTTCCAGACATTTTTCCGAACCGTCTTGACGAGAAATCTCACATAAATTGAAGAACCGAATTGTCTTTCAATATTTCACATATTGATGCATTGTACAAAGATTAATAATAAATATTGGCCGAGGGACACCTATGGAGTGCAAAGGGGTAAATTATTGGAACCATTGGCATGCAAATTAATGTTCGACTACATGGCAATCTTTCTATCTATGAAACCAATGCAACGAATTGCATGTTCGACATTAGACGCCGGCGTCGTGTTAATCAGGAAAAGTTCGAGTAGGAAGAAGGACGAATCGCGCCGACTTCTTCGGCTGACGAATAGAAGAAACTAATGTGGGAGATAATAATAGGAGTGACAAAGTATAACTGTAAGAAAATATGGACTCGCGTCATGCCGAGTCTTCCTGTCCTTAGTCCTTCTCGCAAGGGCAAAGTAATCGACTATAGCAAGCAAGAAAATCATAAAAGTCATGCAGCCGAAGGCTATTGCGGTATTTGCTATGCGATCGCTACCGCGTAACGCCGAACGAGACATGAAAACCGAAACTTTCGGCAAAAGTGGTTGATATTTCGGGTCGTTGATAATCGACGGAGAAAGTGCAAGGCGACGAGAAACTCCGCTCGTGTGCTCGTGTACGTGTGAGTATAAAAAATAAGAAATTGTGCGGCGAAGTTTATTGAAACACTTCGGAAACAGTGAGACCAGTCGATCAACCGATTTATTATAGTACCGAAATTCTAATTATCTTTTTTATGTTTTCGTTATGATGCTTTGGTATTAACATCAACTGATACGAGCATGTCATTTTTTCACTTTTTACGGCGTATATAAGCTAGTAAATGCCGGGGAATATGAATTATGCATCGTTTCTTATCTCACAATTTAAATGTAGAGTGCTTTCAAGCATTTATATAATTGCTTTCTTGATAAACGAATGGATCGTGAAATAATGATAAATAATAATGATGTACCGTACAACTCCATTTTTAGGGAATAGATCTGTGCCTTGTTCACGCGTTGCTGGAATATTAATAACAATATCGAACAATGACAAAGTCTGTGGTAATTAACGTGGAACCATCGTCAAAGTTATATAATAATGTTGATGGTAGGAAGTGTTAAATGTTTCAGTTTCTATCGTTGTGTCAATGTCACGTGTTCACTGCACTTTCGAGTATTAATTAATCACAATTTAAATTCAAATTTCGATTTGAGTTTAATTCACAATTATTCGCAATAATTCACAATTTGAATTCGAATGTTCTTTTATCGTCTTGATTTTACTATACGATTAAAGTAATTGTCATTTTATTTCTAACACTCGGAAACTGTTAATTAAGGGAATGTTTCGATGTCTTTTTCATTTTGAAGAAATGAATTAAAAAATATTAAAAAATGTACTCGATTCGAGTAAACATCCCTAGCATAATATTGATGAATTAATTAAAACACACACTGGTGAATTAATAGCACATGTCAATTAATTCTCACACAAATTGTTCATCATTTAATTTAAAATTTTGAAAATTGAATGAAGAGTTAAAAAACGCAATGTCGATAAAATCGCTTGTCAACCTAAAATATAGTGCTGACATCTGAAACACTGCAGTACTCCTTCCTTATCGACCAAGTTGTGTACAAAGTAATGGTACAAGAGTTCTGTACGTCAAGCAAAGTACCATTTCAGTCTTTTTTCGACATCCCTTGGAGTACGAAGTGTCCGTACGTATTACAGTTTCGGTAGGATGCATTCAGATATTAATCGATTTGCGAGTTAACAGTTTTTTTTAGTTCTTTCTCGAATTTGTTTATTAGCGCTTCAATAGAAAATAACAAGTTTAATTTATATTATTACTATTCTCGTCATCCCTTTGAGCTGCCTAGAAATGAAACATATTTAAAAGATATTATTCTTTAAATCATTAACTCTTCCTATAAATCAGTTTTCATATTAATTTCATAAGCATTCTCACTATTTTTGTTTATAAAATGGTTAAGTCCATTTCTGATTTTCGTCGATTCTACAATAATAATTTTCGAAAGAATATATACTTTTTATGAGATTGTTACGTTATTAAAAATTATACAAAAATGTATCTTGGTAAGTTTTACCAAATAAGTGAAATTTCTTTCCGAAAAAAAAAACTTGTTGCAATTTCAAGTCAGCGTACGCCACATTCCATACGTCTTTATAATTTTCTATCGCAGACAGTTAACAAGAAATGTTGGAAAGTATGAACTTGACAACAATATAATATTTTAATGATTAGTACTATTTTATATTGCACACTAGAAACTTCATAATTCATGAGAAGTATGTAAAAACAGGATACAGCACATAAATCTTATGTACATATACAAATGAGTAAAATGTACTGCACTGTACATATATCTTTCGTACCCAATGACACACATAAACTTTAGACTCTAATTTTTATATTCGCAGTTATATATAAGGAATTTATATGTCATTATCTCTGATTGCAAATTGATAATAGGTATCGTGTGTTTTAACTAAATTAAATGTTATCTTACTCATTAAAACAGAAGAAAGTTAAATACGTATGAAATAAGCTAATAAAACTTATAATTAACATATTATCATAAGAATAACATATTTAAATGAAAAGTTAATAGTGTATGTATATTTTTTTTACGTGAATAATTTTTTACGCTATATCAATTTTTTAAGTGAATTTTTCTTCCTTACAATTGATGCTTACTTCAAGAACACCTTGTATACATTTATATATATGAGACACAAAATAATGATTGTACATTTCGCATAGTATTGCGCAATGATAGGTAGGTGTTCTTGATCAAAAGTTTCATATTTTTATAGTTTATAGTGTTTTGTAATATTATTAATGAAACAAAATATATTATTTTTCCACAATATGCGAAAATGTACAATAATAAAAATGTTATATTAAATAATTATAAATAGATTTGACCGGTATAATGATAAGTTAATACTTATTTTTACATTCA